AGATGAAGTAGATGAAAAAATACAAAAATTTACTGGAAGAGATGAATTGCTAGAGTAATCGGTTTTCCAAATCGACTACTCCAAATGAAATCCGGCGCCGTTTGAAACTTGGGGAAAAAAAAGGGTTTCCAAATCGAAATTTCAGTTCGACCACTGCGTACACGGTGCTAGTCTGCGCGGTGTGCTACGGCTGCTGCGTGTGTTTTTCTTTCTAGGAGCAATATGTTTTTAACTTTTGGCCAGGTTACTGCCTACTGGTTCCGGTTCGTGTAGTGTAGGTCTGCAAGATTGTTCACTTTAGTTAGGGTTAAAAAGTTTTAATTTGAAAATATTTAATATTTGTTTTTTTTATAAATTATTTAGTGGCATACAAACCTAAAATTGTTTGTTTTTCTTTCTTTATTTTTTATAACTTATTTTTTTATATTATTTTTTATATAATATAATATAAATATTATAAATTAAAAAATATCAGGTCCACCCGAAATTCGACCTGAATTTTTTTATTTCGGTTTATCAGGTCAATCCAAAATTTGACCCGAACACGACATAAATTTTTTTTGTTTTGGGTTCAGGCTGACATTTTTTTCAAATCCAAAATATCCAAAACTAAACTTGTAAATTTTCAGGTTGAACAGGTTCATTTTTTTAGGTCGGATTGAATTTTGACACCCCTAGCTCCCACTGTCGATACGAACGGAAGGTAGGGGTTCTATCAAAAATATTTTTAGTTCTTTTTACCTTTTGAAATTCAATTTTACAAGTCACCGTATTTTAGGAGAATGTCTTGCATTGGGTTCGATTCGATTTTTTTTTTGCTCCTTTGTAGTCGGTTTTACAACCTATTGCATTTTATGTTGTACTCTTGCATTGGGTCCGGGTTCAATTTGTTGAATATTTTCTGAGGTCAGTAATCACTAGGTTCAATTTGTGTGTTCTTGTATTTTTTTTCATTTTCGGTTATGTACTATTACTGTTAATGTACACATATTACATGTAATGGAAATTGATAAGATATTCATGAATAAGTCTTCGTATTCACATAGATTACACTTTATGAATATAGAAAATGATGGTCAGTCTTATAATCACCAAATTTCTCCCGAAAGAATACCTCAAATTGAAAAGGAGTTCGATAATGAAGATGACACTTATCATTTTTACTTGGCTTGTGCTAAGAAAATATGTTTCGGCATGAAAAGACACAAAATGCATAGAAATCGAGTAGGAAAGATAAAATTTAGAATATTTTCTTGTAGTGCTGAAGGTACAATAGGAAAAGATAAACAAAATATTAATGTTAGAGCTCCATGACCAATAACAAAATTCGGGTGCAAGACAATGATGAGAATTCAATTAAAAGATAATGAAATATAAGAAATATTTGAGTTTATTTCTAAGCACACTCATTAGCTCACTAGTTCTCAGAAATCTCATTTATTTCGTCGCATAGGGGGATAGATGATATTCATACTGTCTAGATTGAGTCTCACATGATTTAATAGTTAAGGAAGCTGGTAATCGGGATAGATTAAGATTTACGAGGAAAGAAATTAAAAATTACTTGCGACCAAAGAGAACAAAGGACATGAAGGTTGGTGACATGGATTAGTGCTAAAATATTTGCAAGAGATACAAAGTAGAGACCTAAATTCCTTGTATTCCATTTAAGTGGATAAAAATGATATTATTATAAACATATTTTGGATTAATGGGAGACTGAGAGCAGATTATATTGATTTTGGAGACGTTACTTTCGACACTACGTATAGAAAAATTAGGAAAAATTATCCGCTAGCATTGTTTGTTGGCATAAATCACCACATACAAATAGTGGTTTTTGACATAACACTATCATATGAAGAGACTAATTTCTCATTTCAGTGGTTGTTTGACAAATTCGCCAACACAATCGAAAGAAAATCGCCCACCATTTTGAGAAATCAAGATCAAACTATGACAAGTACGTTGGCTTCAAAATGGACTGAGATCCATCTTAGATTTTCTATTACATATGAAATATAATGACAACATATGCCATAAATAGAATATTGTGATTATTCTTTTAAAAAGATAAATGTACTCACATTAAGAATTATCATTGCTCATGGAATTAAAACGTCAAAAAATGTGAGCATGGTGTCTTTGTCAGACCTGCTCAGCATATCTAGTAGCAAGTCAACAAATGTTTTGATGCATTCATTCAGATGACCGTCTCAATGTTCTAGTCGGCGAATTCAAGACCATGTCCTCTCTTTAGTATCAACTAGTACAAACTCCACTTTAAGCTCATGCCAACTTCTCTCTATATGGTGATGTCCTCTTCAACATCTTTTATACCATCATTCCACCTCCACGAGGAGTAAACCAATCTGTTCAATTATCAAGAGGCAATACGGACCCTGGCCTCATGTCCGAAGATACCCACATCCTCAAGGTATTGTTCCATATTGTAGATGTAGTTATCTATTGTTCTAGTTTTATGTTTTCTAGTAAAGCTTTATTGGCATGAGACATTCCCCCATTGGGCTCCTCACCCTCAATTTGGCTAATGTCTTCCTTAGTCAGTTAGCTTTTTTTTTGGACATTCGAAGACTCTTCAACCTTAGGTATTTCTAGCTTCGCAATTCTAACCTTGTACCTTGCAAGTTCAAGGTTATTCGGTAAGATCCTCTTTAAGCGTGACAACCTTAGCCTTTAACGCATCGGGACCTTCTGTATCGTCTAATTTCACTTTTAACCAAAGACAACATCTTTTTACAGACCTCAACTTCCTTGACTTCACAAATATGTTGCTCCACCTTTTTAAAGTAATCGTGATGGTCACATGTGGTCAACTACCTTAATCAATCTATTTTCTAAAGTCCTTGTCATAATGACAAACTTGTCCCTTACGTTTCTCTAGTCCATCCTTATTTTGACAGTTTTTTCTCTAGCATTTCCAATAAAATTGACAAACTTGTCCCTTGCGTTTCTCTAGCCCATCGTTAGTTTGGCAGTTTTCTCTCTTAGGCACATAGTGTCATTATTGTTGACCGTCATTTCTTAGAGAATTAGTTCTGATACTATTTGTAGTTGAGAGTTCTGATACTACTTGTAGTTGAGAGTTCTGATATTACTTGTAATGAGTCGAAAAGTCCCTCTTCAAATGTCTTCCCTCTCGCTCCGTAATTAAGAGGGTGTATTCATTTGATATTTTATTGAATTTTAAAAAGTTTATGAATATTTGTGGATTTAGAAAATCTATAGAGTCTATGTAGTGTTTGATAGATTTTATGTATTCATTTAAATGAATTTTTATAGATTTGATTGAATTGTTTATAGATTTATATAGATTTTCTAGAATTATAAAATAATTTTTTATTAATTTATACAATTTGTATAATTTTATATTAAACATATTTGTAGATAAAAAATATTATTCAAATAATTAAATAAAAATACAAAAATATAAAAATCTATATATATATGGGGTATTATACTTTTGTAAAATAACGTATATATGAATAAATTATTAATAATATATAATAATTATAGTATAATACTATTTTTATATATTAATATTTTTAATTTTATAATTTTTAATTAAAATTCACATATTTTAAAATTTATAAATTGTTGAATACCTTCAAATTTCAAGAATTTTTGAAAGTTTAGATTTCAACAAAATCTTATGTAAATCATTATTAATAATCCCCAAAATCCCTCTTCAAATTATTTAATACTTTTTGATCGAAAATCCAGTTAATCCCATCTCGCTTCAAAGTCTTCCCTTTCCATAAGTAATTCTTTAATATCCTTGAAAATTCTGCTAATTCAATCTCGCTTCAAATGTCTTCCCTTTAACTCATTAATTCTTTAATACCTTTGAAAATCCTATTAATCCAATCTCGGCCAACACAAACGTACAAAAAAATTGCTCTCTGGTGATTTATGGTCGAGCAGTAGCTCCTCTAATAATAGACATTATCACTACAAAAAAATATCAATTTTGTAATAAAATTTTTTCGTTCTTAAATCCACTTTTTCCGTTACTAATGATATTAGAGACAAAATTAGGGATGAAATTACGTTAGCTACGTGAACTTTAGGAACGGAATTCCGTTACAAATATACTATTTTTTTGTAGTGTATGATTTATCGAACCTAATATGAAACAAAGGAAGTTTATCTACTATTGGATCGGATAAACTCTATCTACTATAGTATAAATATCAATCGTAGAGATAAACATAGACTACGTTTAACAAATAAATTTCAATGCCAAACGATATTCCAAATCCTTCTGGAGAGTTCCAAAATATTCCAAGAGAGATTCTCTAAATAGCCTCTACCTCTTCACTAATCATGGTTCTTGGTAAAGCTTTTGGTTCTTAGTATTCTCTTTGTCACTTTGGAATTTCACGTCGATTCTTTCCGACCATTCGTTTTGTACATGACACTAGGACCTCACATCCCTACACCCACTCAAAATGTGTTACATACATGTATGGTTAAATTTTGAAGGCAAGAAGTGTCAAGGACTGAAGGTCCCTACTGTTCCAGACAGGATCGTCTGTTTTGGACGAAACCATGTCCCATTGTTCCATACACACACTATATATGTAGGGTAGGAAAGTGTCGAGGACTAAAGGTCCCCGTTAGTTTCCGTTGTTCCAGACAGGATCGTCTGTTCTGAACGAAACCTTATCTCATTGTCCCATACACACTATATATATGTAGGATAACCCTGTCCCATTGTCCCATACACACTATATATTTAGGATAGAAAAGTGTAAGGACTAAAGGTCCCCGCTAGTTTCCGTTGTTCCAGATGGGATCGTTTGTCCCGAATGAAACTCTGTCCTGTTGTCTCATACATACACGATATATATAGAGTAGGAAAGTGTCAAAAACTATAGATCCCCGCTAATTTCTGCTATTCCAGACAGAATCATCTGTCCCGGATAGAACCCTGTTCCTCTGTTCCATACACACTGCATATATATACACACTATATATATAAGAATGTATGTATATATACACACTATATATATATGTAGGAATAGAAAGATAAGATTTGTTTTTAGGACATGATCCATGGGCCGCTGTTCTTGTCTTCCACCAAGAGAAAAAAGAGGACAAATTTGATATCACAAAATATACCTACTTAAAACAAAAACACGTTCAAGTTCAACTCATCCCTTTGGTATATATAATTTATTATTGACACTAGTATCACTCTACTTATAAAAACACCAACCAACCAAAACCAACTCGCGATTGAACTGAATTGTGATGAGTCAGTCGGTCTTAGGGTCGGTTGCGTCGAGGGAGTCCGGGTAAAGCACTGATTTGGCTCCTGTATAGTCCAGAACCCTTTTCCCCAGCGGCTCCTCAACCTCATCATCTTCATTACCATCAATGGCTCCGCCGCTCACGCACATGACTCTGTACAACCACTCGACCAGCTCGGGGAAGAATACCTTCCAGAAGAAGGTGGTCCTGAACCACGCCGGCTCCGTCAGGTACGCCTCTCCTCGCACCGCGCTTTTCACGATCGCCTTCGCGCACCTCTCCACGCTCTCGATTGGAGTTAAGCTTACTTCTACCTGCACCAATTGTAAATTTGTAGTTGTTATACATACATTACATCGTTGATCATAAATCTATTAGTTAGGTTAAATTAGGTTACGCACATCCCTGATGTGCTTGTCGACGACGAGTCTGCCTTGGCTGGTGAAGTATTTGCCTTGGGTGAGCTCGGACTCGATGATGCCTGGGGTCACTAGGGTAATCCCTATGTCGCCGCCGAATTCGACTCTCAGCGTCTCGTAGAATTGGAACAGAGCCGCCTTGCTAGCCTGCAACCCATTGATTCAATTCATGATGTATATCCATGGAAGTAGTGATATAATTAATTAATTAGTTTTAGGGTTACATTGTAGAAACTCATTCTTGGTGAAGGCAGCCAGGCGCCCGCTGAAGAAACTGCGACGATGCGGCCTCCGGAAGCCCTCAGGTATGGAGCTGCAAAGCGGGTCATGTAGACTGACCCCCAGAAGTTGATATCCTGCACCCAATTCATTGCAGCTTCACTTTCACATCTCTCCCTATATAAAAGTTTCTATAATGATCTACTACGGCTGTCTTTCATTGTCAGATTTAACTCCAGATTTTAATTCTGCTGTTTTATTTTTTCTTTCCTCCAAAAAAATCAAATAAAAAACTTAATTTTTATTTATTTTATTACACTAAAATCTAATTTTAATTCAAAATATCACATCAACACATATTTATATTACATTAAACAATTATTTTAATTCAAAATTTTGCTATTCAAAATTAAAACTCAAAATTAAAACCTCACAAGTAAACACACTCATGTGGTTCGGAGTTTGTTTTCTTTTCCTCCCTCTTAAAATATTATATCAAAATCTTATTTAATTATTTTTAATTTTAAATTAAAATATCAAGGCTGTGCTTTTGTCGAAATTTGACCACTTAGCTGATTCAATTAGTTGGTTTAGCTGGCTGATTCAATTAGCTACTTTTTATTAAAATATTTGATAAAATAATTGTTTGAGAATTAGCTATTTATACGTAAAATAACAATTAAAAATATTTATATATTATTTTTTTAAATATTTAATTTTGTTCAAATTTATGGAAATTTTTGTAATTAATTATTAAAATAATAGAAAATATTTATTTTTCTAAGAAAATATTTTAATTAAAAAAATTATGTAAAATATCAAATAAAGAATCATTCATATATATTTTTTTATTATATTAATTATTGTTTATTAAATTTTAATGTAAGATTTATATAATAAATGTATATAAATAAATTAATAATATTTGTCTTCTTTATTTGATTTATTTTTAATAGATTTATATATTTTACAAAATAAAATAATTTGTAGATAACAATTAATAATAGTAATTATTTTAAATTTACAAAAAATAAAATTATAATTTAATAATCAAATAATTTAAAAATAATTAATAAATACTCCAATAAAAATATATTTATATATGAAATAAATAAATAATTTTTAAGCATAAATAATTAATAAACAAAATCTAAAACGCGATGTAGATTATCTTTTAGCTTTTTCGAAATTAACTTTTTTAAGTTTAAAAAATTCTTTCAGAAAAGTAATTTACAAAAGATATCAATTAGCTTTGTGACGAGTTAAATAACTTTTTCTTCGAACACTCCCAAATCTTTTAAGAGCTTATAGCAAAAAAAATTATTATTCAAAATCAAACTTTCATAAGCATCGTTGCATAACATATACTATAATATTATATTATATGTTTATTTATAAAATATCACTTTCTCCCTCCTAACTAACTGATTTTTGTATTTTAGTGGAACACAGAAGTAAATAAAAATTAATTAAAAAAGATATAAGTGAAACAATTAAAATTAAACTAATTAAAATTACGGTATAAAAATAATTAAAATTAAAATTAAAATAATTAAATACTTTAATTAAAATAAAAAAAAAGTGTGATTAAAATGTATAATTTATATTTTATAAAAAAAAATAATAAATTATGGAAACATACGGAAATAAAAAGTCTGAATCAATGATGTGGTGGGTCGGACGGATATAGTAATTATTTAATACGAAATGTTATATTTATATTATGAAAACAATTTTCCATAGTTTATATATATCAAAAAAAAAATATTTCAAACTCAAATTTTAAACAAACAAATCAAATCAAATATTTTTGATATAATTTGTAAGAAGAAAATATATATTTAATTTTCATGTTAATTTGTAAATCGGCACCAGCATGTACGTGTAGTGTAATAGAAGAAGAAGAAGAGTAGCGAGTACCATAATCTCTCTAAAATCAGTGACGTCATGGACTTGGTCGAGCATAGCGACAGACATGATTCCAGCATTATTGACCAGATGATCCACTGCCAAATTAAAAGATATTATTATATAATTTACATGTAATTAATAATTAGCCATCATAAATAATTGATCATGGTACGGTACGTCTTCCAAAGGCATTGATAGCACGGTCAACGAGGCTCCGGCAGTCGTCGGGGTCGGCGACATCGGCGCGCACGGCGAGGACTTCCGGCGAGCCCAGATAGAGAGCCCTTTCGCCCACTTCTTCCAGGCTCTTCTCTCTCCGGGCAGCTAGAACCAGGCACGCCCCCCTCTTGGCATACTCATACGCAACGCTCTACAATTAATTAATTAATTTATTAATTTTAAATCATAATTAATTAAATTTTAGAGTGAGAGACGACAGACTTACTTCGCCGATGCCGGAGGAGGCACCGGTGATGAGGACAACCTTGCCGGCGACATCTTCGGTGAAAAGGGCGCCCAGAATGGAGAGGAAGAATTTGAATATGCGGAGGGGCGGAAGGACAAAAAGGAGGGTGAAGAAGGTGAAGGGAGGAGCTACCAAGTCGAGGAACGTGTGAATAATTGCATCCATCATCTCCGCCACCCCTACCACTATCACTAATAATTAATTAATTAATATACTTTATTAATTTCTCGATCGCGTTCGCCACCGATTCAATTAATTCTCGATCGGGATGGGATTGGGATGAGATGGAGGAATAACTTTTATAGACATATATATCAGATAAATTGTTATAGAAAGAAAGTAAAGGAGGAGTGGTGGCACCTCTGCATGGAAAGGAGACGACACGTATTTGGATGACGTTTCTCCTTTTAACAAACTTATAAATTGCGGGACAAGCGGTCGATCGGTCCCGGTCCAGGTTCGTTTTTATCTGGTTCACAAAAAATTAAATACTTCATCCGTTCCAAAACTATAATTTGAATTTTGTTTGACATGAGATTTAAAAAATATTAATATTATATTGGTAATAAGTAAAAGTTTTTTTTTTTGTCCTTGTGAATATATTAATGTAAAAAGTAATGACAATTACGTAATAATAATAAAAAATGAAGGGTAATTTTATAGTAATATAATTAATTATCGAAATGAGACTATTATTTTTTGAACGGACAAAAATAATAAATAAAATTATTGTATTAGGACTGAGGGAGTATAAGCTTTCCTAATTATATATATATATAAGAAATATATGGAAACAAATTACTCGTTCATTCCACCTGTTTTATTTATTATTTTTATTTTAGTTTGTCTCAATTTGTTTGTCATTTTTTTTGAGAAAATATAATTATATATATTTATCACATTTTATAATTTATATATTTTTAATCTTAATTATATTATTTTAATTTTAATCTATAATTAATTTTATTATATAATAATTATCTTTACTAATATATTTATTAATTACTCATTAATTATATTTTATCTAAATTCTCGTATCTATAATAATCGGATACAATAGGTGGGAGGGAGAGAGTATATATTTAATAGAGATGGTCAAGTCCGGTCGGATTTTAGATCTGATTTGGACCCGGCTATATCCGAATCCAACAATATATACCCAAATTGGATCCAAATAATATCCAACAAGATCCGATAGATTCAACATGCTTGCAATTTTTTTTATAATTCTTAGACTTGATATATATTTGAATTTATGTATTTTAATAAATTTTGTAAAAATATAAAATATTTTTAATATAATTTATATTGTTAGAACTATTAGAAAGTATTATTTTTTTTTATATATAATTATATATTACTAATATATTAATTAGGTCCGGGTCGAATTCACCCTTAAACTCGAGATCCGACTAGAACTAAAAAAAGTACACAATATCCGACTCATACCCGATCCGATATCCAAATAATTGAATCTAATCCTAAATAAATAGGTTAAATACAAATCAAATATTGAGTTTACACGAATCCATTGTCATCCATAATTTTTAAACAATAAATTCCCGATTATAATATTTAACAGCAGCTATATCTTATACATAAAAGAAAATATGTATATATTTATACATATTTGAATATTAATAATATCAAATATACTATACATTGGAAATGATAGGGTAGTCTAGTGACTACCTTTCAACCCCTTGATTATCAGGTCGAGATCTAACCTAACGAATCCCTTAATAAATATAATTAATTAGTCTACTCCTTAACCCTAAGTCCAAACCTTTATACGCAATCCTAACCTTTGGCCCATTTATTTAGTTGTTAGATTGGTTCGTTAGGTAGTTTCTTTTTTGTGCTCTTATAAGTAAGAATTTTGGGTGAGTGATAATGAGTTAGATTCAGAAATAGAAATCAAAACCGAGTGTCATAAATAGAGAGGGTAGAGAATGAGAGCCGGCAACTTATTCTAGTGAGTTTCAAGAATTTTTGTTGAGAATTCAAAGCCCTTCTTTGTGCCGATTCCGGTGGGTCTCAAGGGCTAAAGTGACGTGCCAACCTCCACCTTGCGGCTTGGTTAACTTGGGTCATTTTACATCTGGTCTAAGCCAAAATATATCGTCTCAAGAAGACAATCACTTGTTCGTCTTTGCTGGACAAACATAAGGGGTCAGAGATTGACGTTGTCCGTTTTGCTCAGGTCAATCCCAGTTGTTAGAAAGGTGCCAAGAACCAAACAAAAAAAACATTACTAATCAGAGTTTATGCAATGAGGAAGAAGTTGAAGCAGGATGAAGAATTTCACAATGTATATTTTTCACATGTTTGGGCCTATTATTTATATTTTTTGTAAAATAAGCCTAGTCCTATGTTTTTCTTTCTTTTTGCTAAGCCTAGACTCTTTTTTCTTCTTCAGTTAGTTTGTTATACTTGTATGTATATATTTGTACTATGCTTCGGTGAGTGAAATACGATTCATAAAATTCCAATCGCCTTCCTCACTTATCTCATGGTATCAGAGTTGAATCATCTGTTGCGGTGATTACTCTATTGTTCAAATTTCTCCCTCGATATCATACAGACTGCATAATGGCTACAGATTGAACTAATCCATCATCTGTGTCATCGAGGTCCAAGTCTAGTGCCTTAAGCTCTAACTTATTGATGTGCTTAATACCTCTATGGCATACTTGGAACTACATCCATCTTATCATCTTAGTATAAGTCTATTATCCACCAAACTCAAAGATGAGCTATATTGCGTTGCTTCTATACGAGAAGAAAAGAAAGAAATAGAGGAATATTTGAACAAGCAGGATATTATGGATTATTTCAAAAGATTGAATAATATGTATGACTCAATAAGAAGCAAGATACTGATGCAAGACTCCGTACCTTCTTTGAACATAATATTTGGAACTCTTATCAATTGTTGAAAAACAACAAAAAAATTTATGATTTAATGATCTATTCAAGTCCTATAATACTGATGAGCAACGACATGACTGCTGCTAAGACACTTGATAAGAAGAAAATGGATAAAAGGTAATTGGTTTATGAGCACCAAGAGAATAGACCATAGCAAGGACACTTGCTTCAAACTTCATGACACTCCATAATGATTTAAACCCATTCAAGATAAAAGAAAGAGAGAAGGGAAAGAGAACCTCTCAAACACTGAGGTAACCTTTCAAATAATTGTTGAAAGTACCTCTACAACTAAAACTACTAGCTAGAATACTGATGCTCTCACAAAATTGATTCAAAAGAAAATTCAAAAAGCTTTTGAGAATGTGAAAACACCACTTGAAGTTCTCAACATGTGGGAAATTGACCATTCAGGTAAATAGTGCTTACATATTTCAAATGACTCGAAAAATTATAGTTCCTAGATGTTGGATTTAGGGGCGGCAACATGTCATGTTAACAATAATTCTGCTCACTTAAAATACTTGGAGCCCCTGAAATAGCCAACCAAGATACACCTACCAAATTGGACTACTCAAGATGCTACTTATGCAGAAAATATTGAGCTAAATAATACAATCACCTTACATAATGCTTACCTTATTCCTGAATTGAAGTATTTTTTAATATTTTTGCATTACTTGTGCTTTGGTTCCAACTTATCAATGAAGTTTATGATTCATAAAAAACCAAAGAAATGAAGAAAAGTTAGGCAGAGGCAAGCTCAAGGGTGATCTATATCATCTTTTATTGGATTCATCCTTGCAGATCATGGCAAATAAGAAGAATTTTTCTTGGCATTACAGACTTGGATACCCATATAATAAATTTCTTGAAACATATGGCTTGTGGCCAAAATATTGTTAGTTCATAGACCTTGTGATACTTATCACTTCGCCAAAAAAAAAAAAAAAAAACATGTTAATTTAATAAAAGTGGTTCTTGTGCTCCTAGTTGCTTTGAGTTAAGTCACTTGGATATTTGAGGTCCATATAGCATTGTTTCTTCAAATAAAAGTAAATACTTTTTTTACTATAGTAGATGATCACAATAAGGCTACTTAGACATACTTGATGAAGTTAAAATCACAAACTACTATTGTATTCTCTGTGTTCTTGAAAATGGTGGAGACACAATTCAACTCAAAAGTAAAGAGTGTAAAAACAGATAATAGAACTAAGTTCACCAGTTGCAATTTTCAAGATGTATGTAGGGAAGTGAAATTCAACATCATAAGTCATATTCCTACAATTATCAACAAAATGAAAGGATTGATAGAATACACCAGCATCCATTGACTGTAATGAGAAACTTGTTGTTTAATTCAAATATGTCCACATCATTTTGGAGAGAGGCCCTATTTTCAACGACATACCTTATAAACTTGTTGCCAACACCGATACTTGTGTGAAAATATCCATATCAAATAATGTATGGTGTTCAACCTTAATTGAAGCACTTTAGAGCATTTGGGTGCCTTTGCATTGCCTTAAATATAGACTCCCACAAGTCTAAACTTGGCAAAAAAACAATAAAGGGAAATTTATAGGGTATGAATAAGGAACAAAAGACTGCAGAATTCTGAACCTTGAAACAAGTAAGGTGTAATACCCCTGGAATTGAGCCGGTATTAAGCCAACTCCCATAGATGAGCTGGTGTCAGGCCATTCGTGATTGAATAGGGGTTAAATGGATTTAATAGACTATTTATATCAACAATGTGCACATTCCTTTCCGGAAGCCCTACTGAAAGAACTCTAGAGTTAAGCGTGCTTGCTCTAGAGCAATTTGAGAATGTGTGACCCCCTGGGAAGTCTCCCAAGGGGCGTGTGAGTGAGGACAGAAGCGTTCTGAAAGGACTCATGTTGACCTGGGGCCAGTCTGCAATCCCGACACACTCAGCTTTGCGTGGCTTGCGGGCCGGGGGGTCACAGTTGGTATCAGAGCCAATCTGCGATTGCCCTCAGTCGTTTACCGGATTGGTGATGGGTCTAGCAGTTGATGATCCTTGGGGTACAATGTGGATGTTGCATTCTTAAGTGGGGGAGGGATGTAATGCAATGTTGATCCGTTGCTAGGCCAACTCCCGTGGATGAGCCGGTGTCAGGCCATCCGAGATTGAATAGTGGTTAAATAGATTGAATAGACTACTCATGTCAACAATGTCCACATTCCTTTTTCGTAAACCCTACTTAAAGAACTTTAGAGTTATGCGTGCTTAATCTAGAGAAATTTGAGGATAGGTGACCCCCTGAGAAGTCTTCCAGGGCCAGTATGCAATCCCAACAGGTCATATTGTGAAGATATGTGATCTTTT